GGTAGACTTTGAAATTTTAAGATTACGTAATTGACAAATAATATCATCCATACTAATTTCAGAAAATTTAAAATTTATATTAGAGTAATAGTTAGAGTGGTAATTTTCATCATCTGAAAAGTTCGTACATGGAGAATCGTTTTCAATTTCATTAGCCAAATTTACCCCGATGTTAACAAAGAAGTCATTAAATTAAACGCCTCATCTTTCAAAGTATCATCTGAAATCACAACATCATCACATTTAAGTTGAGAGATATTATTTGATTTTTTGTTTTTACCTAAGAGAATATTAATTAACTTCCAACTATGTTTCATATCTTTCGATTGTGCGCAGTTCTCAAATTTGTTACAGAAAAATGCTGTTTTAGCTTTAGTTAGTTCTAAATTGACTTTGTTACGTATTTCTTTGAATTTCTCCCAGTGAATCTGGGAATTATTTTTAACAGCCATTTTCTTGTAAGAGTCCCTAACCCTCATCAGATTTTTGATATCAGGGGAAATCCAAGGAATAGAATTTCCTCTAAGTCTCATCAGTCTTAGGGGCGCATGCCAATCAAGGACGTGTAGGAAAAGGGATCTCCATACCCGCCAACAAACATTTGGTTTATCATAAAGCGCCACATTTTCCCAGGGCATCTGGGAAAGATCATTAAGAAAGTTATTGGCATTGAATCTTTTGAAATTGCGAACATATCTTGTCTTTTGCCGAGATTTAGTGACACAATATTTTCTAACGGCAAAAACCAAACTATGATCAGATATTCCAAGATGAATAACACCAGATTTCGAAATATTTTTCTCTTTGTTTGTCAATATCAAGTCTATTAAGGTTGCTGATGTTCTTGTTACCCTTGTAGGTTCATTAATAAGTTGTCTATACTGGTAAAGTGAGGATAGAAATTGTAGTCTGCGTGTGTGAGCTTCGGGAGGACATTTTATGGTATCACAATTCAGATCCCCCATTATTATTACTTCAATATTTTCCAAGTCACATTTTCTAAGAAAAGTCTCGTATTCATTAAAGAGACTAACCTCAGAATTTGGCGGTCTATACCATGTAACTATTAGAAATGACTTATTGTGTGGTTTCGTAATTTGAATGCATAGCATTTTTAACGAATCAGATATTAATAAGTCATTTCGTTCAGAAAATGGTAAAGATTCTCGCACATATAATAACACTCCCCCACCATACCTGTTTCTATCTTTACGGATATGATAATATCCAGGTATACTAATTTCATCATCAGACACTGAATGGTCAATTTTTGTTTCATTAATCGCCAGAATGTCAATAGAGCTATTTTGCATAATGATACGGAGCTAGTCGATACTTTTTAAAAGACTATTAATATTTAAATTTGCCATTTTTAGGCCTTTAGAACAATCTAAATCAGAAAATATATTATTAGATTCATTTATTTTACCTGTCGGAGGGTCACACCGATTGTAATCATTACTTAATACTCGGTCCTCTGAGCGAGTAATAGGAGTCTCAGTAGGTCCTCTAGTGAATGATTCTGATATGTCCGGCGACCTTGAAAATCCTCCCCTCTCTTCCTTTGGCGATACTCTGATGGAGCTGGAATGTTCCCCCTTAGGAACTTAATAAAATTTGCTGCCAAGAATGCGGATCCTTTTGAGTTCAAGTGTAACAGGCCGCCATTTAAGCATGTAGCATCAATATTATTGTTTTTAATAAAATCAAACCCGTTCTTAGAGCACATTTTTTGTAGTTCTTTATTAGCAGTGGAGATCTGTTTGCTTAAATCCAAGTCGTTTCTGACAGTTATGCTGGATATTGCTATTCTTGAATCTGTAAATTTCTTTTTTATACACAAAGCTAGATTCTCGATGTTTTTAACGCAATTATGCGGCGGTTGCACAGAAAGGTCATTAGTCCCAGCATGTACAATAATGTGTGAAGGAAGTACTTCAACCTCCATAGATTCCACTTTTTATTTGTTCTGCGGTTTTGCCAGGAAACGTGCGTTTAATAGTTTTCTTTCGGGAGATCTTTTTAGGATCAATATGTTTGATGATAGAATCGCCGATAATTAGGATCGGGATGTCGCTGTTACTTTTGGCTGTAGTATGATGAGTTGGGGTAATATTTGATAATGAGTCGGGTTGAGAGGAAGTACTTTCATTCTGGGAGCGCGGATCTTTTGAGGTTATATTGTTATTGACCGCAATTTCTTTCTGTGAGAAAGTCGATGATTTAGCCTTCGTTTCGTAAATCTCTTCCTCGTCCTCCTGTTCAGAGCTTAAAACTTCAAACTGATTCTTTACTTTCAATGAGCTAGTAGCTTCAGGAGAAGAAATGGTAGCCATTTTCTTTTTCCGTTTCATCACTCTGGTGAATCCGAGCTTTTCATCTCTTAGGTTATTATTCTCGTTTTCCAGGGCTTCAATCCTTTTTTTATTTTCTTCTAGTTCATCTTTTCCTTCCCGTTGGATTAACTTCATTGCGGTTAGTAGGCTTGCTTTTTCATCTTGAAGGTCTATCACCTTAGCTCGAAGCTCTGACAAAGATACACATAAATCTGTATTTTCTTTTTCTAATTTATCATTCTTGTTGCTCAGCACCAGCTTTTCCTTTTTCAAATCACTAACGACTTCTTCTAATGACAGTATAGAGTAAGCTTTAAACTCTTTGATGCTAGATATTTCATTGCTAATGACCTCTAATTTTCGGTTGACAGAATTGGCAAAACACTCCATGTTAGATTTAATTTCATGAATTTCCGAGTTATGTGTGTAATTTGTTTCATTCGGATTAACGGAGGGATTATACATATTAGATCGTAGTGTTTAATTATTCAGGAGACTGTTTCGTGAACCAATATGTAAATTACTATCTTGTGACTTGAGAGTGGAATGCAAATTACTGTACTTTGAACTAACCGAATCTGTAATGACTTTGTCGCTCGAATTACTGTCGAAATATAAAAGTTTTTCTTTAATTTCTTTTGCCTTATTCCCTTTTATCGTTAAAGTTCCAGAGTTTATGTACCAGCATATTACAACATCGCTGTTCTCAAATTGTTTACACTGTCCCCTCGGTGTAGTCCACTTCCCTGGCTGTAGTTGTAGCTGTTCAACAACATGACAAAGGCCTTCATAATCGCTTCGCCATTTCAGACTTCCTTTCTCCGTGACGAAAAGTCTACGTAAGTTTGAAGGAGCTTCGCTTTGATCTTTATTTTCACCTTGATCTTTATCACTTGAATGCTGTGAAAAAATGTCCAGCGATTCCAGCTCAAATCTGCTTTCATTGGTCGACTGTTCGCCGTCGTGTTCAACAACCTGAGATGTTGGGTTCTGTATTTCGGTTGTATTTCCCTCTGATTCTGATATATTTAACTCTGAACATATAGATTGACTATCAAAGTCAGTCATTATGCTTTGTGAAACGAAATTGTTCGAAATACAACTTGAAATTTTGATAAATACGGATAATTTTTCACACAAGCGTCACCACGGTCTCACTCACGCTCTTTGGAGCTATGGGTTCAATCATACCTCGAATTGGTTTAAAAATCACGGCAAAATCACTGGATTTGAAAGGATTTCGATCTTAATAGATGACGCAAGTGTATATACCATGAATCATTTAAAATTTTGGGGGGAATTGTTTTTAAGACCTGTAGCTTCGACCTGTAGCTTCGCCACTGCCAGTATCATACAGGATTATTGGTATGGCTGTCTACGGTAGTATAAATAGGTATGGTAGTATAAATAGGTTTAGTAGTATGGTTTCGAGCGCAATTTGGAAAAAGAACATGCGTGAGTAAGTTTTTCAAAGCCAAAATTGCACAAGTACGAAGCACACATGCGTTGCTAGCTTGCGAACAGGCTCACTGGGAGAAAGGTGAGCCTGCACGGAACCATGCGTTTTATTCAATCATCCCCTTTTCGCATCTGCTAAACGCGAACCAATCAGCGTCGACTGCGATAAATAAACTGTCAACTGTCAAATTGACGCAAGGCGTGTACATTGTGCAACGAAGAAATACTGAATATTAAAATGTATACATAATGTATATATGAACAATAATACAAAGCATTAGCGGGCCGCACAAGATATTACTCGGAAAAATATAGAACTCTTCAAATATTAAATAGATATCAATACACATACAAATATAAAGCCGAATAAAATAGTACCATTGGCATTGAATCAATGTACAGTAATACTTGTACTCATATGCTTGTACTATGTGCGACTGAAAGAACAATGTTCTGAATATTTGAAGCTATTACTAAAATACGGTCAGATAGATTGGGATTTGGAATACCGAATACGTCTAAAATTTTACTAACTGTGGTCTAAATAAATTATAAATGAGCATGTATTTATTAATTTCTTCGAAATCACGAGTGTGCCAATAGTGGAAGCATAGTGCACAGGCGGCCCAATCTCAGAATGAATGATCAGGTGTTGCGGGTTTTTAACGGTTTTTATAAACAAATTTATAGTCAACCAAAACTATTTAAAAAACATTCTTAAATTAGTCAAATAAATACATTTTAACAATAAAATATAGTTGACATGATAGTATAATACCTTTGCATTCTTTTAATTACTCCATGAGCTCATTTAGAGCGGTTGATGTAACATTTTCTGTGGCCTACATTGTGCGTGCTCATCTATATATAATATAACAGTAAAAGGCTAATCACTGCCGGCACGACCGCATCGCCTTCAATGTCAAATATCTCCGCTCAAACTTCTCGTACGCCAAAACAAATTCGATTACATCTTTTCGCAAAGATTTCTCTTTCTAAATAATATGGTTTGATCGTAGCTTGGGCAAATTTAGCGACAAACGAAACCAAAATCTCCTCAATTTCGGATACTGTTCAAAATACTTAGGGCTGCTCGGGCACGATCGTGGACGTGACGTAATCAATACATACTGACAATAACGCCTTACGTGGGGTGGGACAGCATATCAAATTCGACGATGGTTTGTCGCTTTATGCTGTCCC